TGGACAAAAGATTTGGCAAGCATTTCATAGATTTAGAAACCTTAATGGTCATTAGTGTGAAAAAAATTTTAGTCACATTATCAGAAAAATGCAAATGAATACCAGAGGTAACACCTCTCACCCACCAGATTGACAAAAATTTAAAAAACAAAAGATAAGGATACGGATTTTTAACTGGAATATAAATTGGTACAAATACTTTGGAAAACAATTTGGCATTTTCTAGTAAAGTTGAAAATGCCCCTACCATAGGACTGGGCAGTTCTGCCTTTACCCATGTATTATAGAGAAACTTGTGACTGCACGTGTGTGCCCAGGTGTCATGTGAGGATGTTCACAGAAGTGGCGTTCGCCATTGTTAGGGATTAGAAACAGTGTCATAGGCAGTAGGGTGGATAAGTAAGTTGTGGCATATTCACACTTGGAGTTCTGTACAACAGTGAAAACGTGTAAATTAGAGCTACATACAACAACATGGGAACTTCAGACATCTGTATTGAGCCCCAAATTCTAGAATAGAGTATCAATGTATATCAAATTCATTTATTGAATAAACTAAATGATATATATTCTTATTAAGATAAGCAGGTGGTAAAACTGAAGAAAAGCAAAGGAATGACGACAAAATCCAGGGAGGGAATGAGACATGATTGGGGGTGCCCATGGGAATGTCAGAGGAGGTAATAATGGTCTTTTCTTCAATTGGATCATGGATACTTACAATATGCTTTTTAAAAATCTATGTATATTTTTATAAATATTCTTTCGTATCTGCTCAATACTTAATAGCATTTTTCCCAAAATCATTTAATAGGCACACAAAATTACTTTCTTTTAGTTCTTTCCAATGAAGAGTTTCACTGGAACAGGTTTCTGGTGCTGGGGTGTGAAATAATACAGAAAAGCAATGGGAACTCTTATAAACCCACTTCTTTGGAGGGAAGTGATAGCTTCAAGTGGGTTTCCAGCTGATTATCCACTGGGAGGAAAACGGCAATTGGTTTTATTTTCTGTACAACACTGTTAACTGTTCCTGTATTGTGGAAACTTGGGAGTTTTACAGTGGGTTTTTAATTCCCCTTTTTCCCCTCATCCTTCTAGGCGCTATGTTCTTGTCCTCTGTTCCTTGAAAACTTATAAAGAAAAGGGGGGTATTTAGTACTTTGATTGGGTTGCTTTTCCTTCAACAGCAGGGCCTTCCAAGGTGAACTCCATTCAGCCCTCCCGGGACAGTCACGTGCTGTTGAAGGAGTCAGCTCACTTGGGTAGCTGACAGTGAGTAGAATGCTTTTCGTGCTCGCTCCTATTCCTTAAAACGCTTCTCTTGTTCCCTTCTCACGTTGCTTAGGCTGCTTTTCCATGGCTCCTGACCTCCAGTTAAATTCTAAACCCATGTGGAAGATGTCCCAAAACTGATTTCTTAGGTCCTCCATCTTGAGCCAAGAGTATTTAAGCCCCAATCCTGAAACTTCAAAGGAATAAAACAAGAAATGTAAGCACATATCTTTTAGTCACATAGAAACATTTGACTTTTAAGACAACTTTTCTTTCTCCGCAAGCATTTACTCCCTGGGTTAAAATATACCTATTCCCTGCTGATTTAAATCAAGAGTTTAGTGAACTTTGTCACTGCATACAAGTATTTTTGTTTGGAAAATAGGATTAAAAGATAGTCTGTCCTTTAAAATGAGTTTCTTGTAATTGTAGGGAAATTTAGGCAAGTTGGTATGGAAATTGTTAGATTTTTAAAAAACTAATTTTAATTATGTANAGCACAGTAATCCCCTTTTCAAAGGGGGTACCTTCTAAGACTCCTGTTCCAAAACCCTCAGTGGATGCCTGAAACTGAGGGTAGTACCCAACCCAAAATACACTGGTTTTTTTCCTATGCATACAAACCTTTTCATTTAAAGGAAGCAGATTACCTCTTCTCTTTGGCAATTCAGTAGATCTACTCCAGCACTACTGTTGTGCTTTAGGGCCATAATTAAGTAAAATAAAGGTTACTTGGACATACATATCATGATACCGTGACAGTGGGTCTGATAACCAAGAAGGCTAAAGTGACTGCTGGGAGGAGAGCACCTGCAGTCTGGAGGTGCTGGACCTATGAATTGTTTATTTCTGGAATTTTCCATTTAATATTTTCAGACCACAGTTGACCGTGGGTAGCTGAAACCACAGCAAGCGAAACTGTATATAAGGGAAACTTCTCTCTCTATAGTATATAACTGTTTTCTTCATGTTAAACTTAAAACATTATGGATGAGGCAGGGGTCTCTTTTGACTAGCACTTCTAAACTAGTGCTTTTGTCAAATGTAATCCTATTTTCAGGTTGGTAATGTGTCCTCCAGATTTTTGTTTCTACATTACATTCATACATACATGTATGTATATTTACATACATACACATACATATGTATGTACTAGCAGAGCATATATATTGTTTTATGTTTTATCTTCTTTGTTGTATAAATGATGTTTTAAGTTATTCCTTTGTTAATTCATATAGATGTATATTTTTCTTTTGAAATTGCATAGGTTTCATGGTATGGTTTAGCCATTACTGACTGACAGACATTGGGTTTTTTGCTTTTTTGTTTTTGTTTTTATGTGCTATTACAAAAAATGCTGCATTGGTTATTATATGTGTGTTTGTGTGTCTGTATTCTGGATACTAATCATTAGTTTGTTATAAATGCAGCAAGTATTTCTCTAGTCTACCTCATATTCAAACCACTATGGTTTTGCTGTTTTTTGTGGGAGTGGTCTTAAGCTGACATCATAGGATCATAAACATTGTCTCTTATATTTTAAATTTCATATTTATAGTTTTGTTTTTAACATTTAGTTCTTTAATCCATCTGAAATTTTTTTGGGGGAATGGTATGAAGTAGAGATCTAAATTTACTTCTTCCAAATGACTACCAATTGTTCTAAAACCGTTTATTGAATAGTGAATCACTGCTTGGAAATACTTTTATCATTTACGGTTTCACAACTACTAACTTTAGTTACTTTATCACAACTACTAACCACAATTTGGAGTACATACTAGGACTAGACACCACTGTAAATACTTTCCAGGTATTATCTCTTAATCTTCACACCCACCCATTTTACAGTTGAGGAGGTGATGCACAGAGAGATTAAGTGATTGCCGTGTTACACAGCTGCTAAGTAGTGGGACTTGGATTTTAATTGATGAGTCTAGCTCCAGAACCCATGCTCTTAACCTTATATAAGCATGAGATGTCTAAACTGACAAATTTGTTTGCCATTTTCCAGGCAGCCTGAGCTAGTAGAAATTGCTTAGATTTTCTATTTCTTGGATCATTTTTGAAACCTTAGGGTTGGAGATATGGAGACCAAATTGTGGTTTTAATAATTGAAGATAGTCATGGAAATCTAGGTAAATCCAAATAGAAAACAGAGTATTTTCTTGGGTTTATTTTAGCATAATATCTGATAACAGAGAAAGCATGGGATATTTAAAATTTTTAAGAATGTCATCTAACTCTAAAATTCTAGGATATAACCAATTATACAAGTGAAGCTTGTTGCTTGATTGAGTAAATGTTGGTGCCACTAGGAGTTTTATTTAATATTAAAATGATTATCAGTTACTTTATTATTTTCTCAGTTCCTTGTACTCATTTCTACTTAGTCTAAATATGAAATGATAGAATAATTGGGGACTTGATGGCCAGACTAACCTGCTTTGGTATTCCAGCTCTTGAACGTATTGTATTTCCTTGGGCTAGTAATTGAACCTCCCTCAACTTCCTTTTTAAAATCTTTAAATTAGGTAATAATACTCAGGGGCAGTATGACAGTTAAATAAGGTAATGTTTATAAAATTCCTATCAAGATATATAGTATGCAGTCAGTACACTATAGATTTAATTTCCATCTTAAAATATGCATATGAAAGCCCTTGGCTTAGATTAATAGTTTGCTTTTCCCATGTATATCTCTTACAGAGGAATACAATAATTTTTATTTGGGAGGTTTTCAGTGAACTACAGAATTAATTCTTAGCTAAATGTTATGAATACATTTCACTGTCAAATGTAAATTCAGTGTCTTCAAATAATTTATCTCTTCTTATTTCTATATATTTGACCATTCTAGGATATGTAGACAGCTTTTTCTAGAAAAGTAATTTTAAGGCCATCTCAATCTGTGAGATGGCATTTTCTAATTTAAATGTTCCTTCCTTTATGATTTCCAAGTGTGCTTTTAAAATCAGCCACTTAGATGCAACATCATTTTATCTGCTGTGTTAATAAAGTGAAGTGTTGAATCAGATGGGCTCTGAGGCTCCTTGTAACTGTGATACTCTCATTCTTGGACGTGCACATTATCTAAAAATTTTTGGTAAAACAGATGCCAAGTTCATTTTGCGTTTTTATTAGATGCCACCGTAGTGGTATTCAAATAACCTTACAATTGTATGCTTTACTAAAAGCTCAATAAGCAATTTTATATGATAGACTGTGAAGTGAAATTGTCAAATATTCTAATATTTTATATGACATTTAAAAATTAATACTTTTACTGAAAGAAATAAAATGATTAACATTTAAATTTTCTTGAATCATTTAAAAGTTACATTCAATTGTGTAGTTTTTGTATTACCATTTATAATTATCAATGTATTGTGTTGTATGTTTATAAAATGCTGATGAATTATGGCCAGTTCAATGCCCAGGTGAAAGATTATGAATTACCTACTTTTTATGAACATACAACATGTAGCATAGATATGTATTTTGTGGTTGAATAGAAAAGCCTATTTTTCAGTTAAGTGGATAAATGTGTATATGGTAAAGTGTAACTTTTTACAATCACCTGGAAACTCCTCCATAGAAAATTTATTAAATGAGAATGATCAATGACTAACTGTTCTGATAAAGTGAAAAGAGATCTCAAGTTAAAGCCATGCAGTGCCCTATAAATGAATGGACGTGCCGTTTCTCGCCCTCCTCTCGTCCAGGTGCAGCAGTAGCAGGCATTTACCGAGTAGCAGGGAAGAACATGGCCCCTTTGGAAGCGCTGGTATGGGGCGTTGGACAGACTGTACTGACACTGATCATCTCCTTTTCAAGGATCCTCGCCACACTTTGAGGTTTCTGTGGAAATGTCTTACTTCACATAGGAAACGGATGTACAGATTCTCTGAAAATGGCTTTGTTCGCAAGTGGGAATGAAATTACACAAGAATCCTGGAAGGAGCCAGTCGGAACATAAGGCCTTGAGCTGTGTGGAAAGGTTGCCCTCTGGTGTTCAAGTGATTGCACTACCGCACTGCACCTTACGTGCCTCCATCCCAGGCAAGGCGAAGTACACTATGAGAAACTTCAAGAAAAAGCACCTTGTTTAGCTGCCAATCAGGTTAGCACTGGTGTTGAATCATCGTTTTTAACAGTGTTGTGTTTAAGTTACAGGGACATTTTGAAGAATTGATATATGTGCCAAACTCTCTTCTTTTTTTATAAATTGGTCATGTGACAATTGCAAGTGTAGTTGTAGATGAGACGAGTGCTGTGAACATGTTTGACATGAATTCAGGTCATGTAGTGAGACTTTGTTTTGTAATGCTAAATCCTGTGTGAGTGCTGAATACCGACTCGTTTACTAGGAGATAAATTATTTTTAATGTTGAACGTTTCTGGGATTTAGGGCTTTAATATGTTTAGGCATTATTGTTATTTAATTTATGTGGAAACTTATACATAATGGAAAACTAGCTAAAATCTTTTAAGGACTCAAAGTAGATCTATAGGGTGCATCCTTTTCACCCACTTAAATAACACTTTTAATAGTTTCCCTCATACATAAATGTTCCATTGATATGAATTAAAACCTTAATGGGTAACACCTTGATTGTAGTTTGTGTGTCACAAAAATATACTTCAAAGTTTTTCTTATAAATTTTGTTAGAAAAGAAGTCTGAAGTGCATGTGCATTCTTTACCCCTCTAAAGGAAGTTTTGCCATGAATCTCACAGAGGAAACATCTTCATAACTGTATTTCAGTGGGGTGATATCACTTGGTGCATATGTCTTGACTTTTGACAAAGTGTGAAATCTTTCATTCTGGAGTATTAACTATATTTAAAGAGTGGCCTAAATTAGGCTGTGAAAACAAAAAGCCTCATTTGTAGATAAGTAACAGTAAGTTATCTAGGGAGATTAATAAACTATCTTACTTTGGGTATGAGGTAACAAAATTTCGCTAAGTAAGAATTGGGGAATTTAGTAAATTCTGAAATTTGACAATTCATCTCAGTATCAAACAGTACTGAAATATGTTTGAGTGATTAATTTAGTTGTTCAGTTCTTGATTTATGCTGTTATTTAAGTTTGCTAGAATGTGATAATACTAGAAATGAAAAAGTCCTTAGTATAAAATATTTTAAGAGGTTTTGGCAACATATACTTGTTTTTAAGAGTACAGGAAGTAAGGGAAACAGAACCTGGTTGAATTATCTCTTACTGACATTTTTTAGTATACGACGTACAATTATAAATGTTCTTATTCAAAGGAGAGCCATTGTGGAGAATGTGAAGTTAAGGACAATCCATTAAAACAACCTGCACCCTCCAGCCTCACTACTTCATAACCCGAGTGGGTAACAAGCAGTTTTCTATTGGGTCCCATTCAAATTTCAGACCTTTGTTACCCACACCACTTTCCTTCACCAAAAAACAGAAGTCAGCTACTTAACAGTGAGGACTTGGTGGGGGTGGTACTTTCACCAGTAGGGAAGCCAATTTGGGGGATTTTCTAATTCTGTGGTTTGGAAATTTGATTAAAGACAATAAGAACAACAACTGGCACCTATGCATTCTTAGAGCTCTTTGAAGTAAATCTTAAAATGGATTTTAAATTATGTATAACCCTGAAATTATTTTCATGTGTTCTTTTTATTTTTGATGTTTTCCAAATTAAATTTAGGCACAAATTAATTTGATTTCTCCGTTTCTGTTAGACTTGAATTCAGTGTTCTTTCTTTACTTTGGCTGTTCTGTCAGTAATTTAAAGTGTTTTTATTCGTTGAGAGGAATTACCAATAACATATTGAAGATGTACAAATGAAAATGTTAGCATATGGCTGTGTTGTGCTTTAAGAAAGTTATTGTGGAAAGGTAATATGGAGCACATGGTTCAGAATCCAAAATCAACCAGAAAATAACTTGGACATATAAATATGTGAACGAGTGGACCAAAGAGATTTAAACTCCTGTTTTTACTCTAGAATGGAAGTGCAATTGGACGGTTAATAATTAGTTAGTAGAGTGTCCTAATGTCATTATCGAGTTGCTTTATGTTATGAATTTGTGTGTGTGTGTGTGTGTACACTTTTAACTTGTGGGGGAATTTTTGGTTTCTTTGCTGTTTTCAGCTATTTCCATTGGGATTTTGTGCAACTGTCACTTTTTTGATGTTTTGAAATACAGTTGAATAGTGAAGTGATGAAATTGTCTTAATAGCTGTTTCTATGCTGAGATTTTTTAAAAGTTAGTGGTTTTCCTACAGAGACAAGAAACATTTAATGATACATATCTGCACACACATATATATCATTATATATGTATATACAAAGCTGCTGTGTGTGAATGGAGTCTAACTGGAAAGCTTCTGCTCAGTGAACACGCCCATGCTCCAGTGGAGAACTTGTTCAGATGAATGATCTTTTAAATGGGTTTGAGGATGTTTGAGATTTTTTAATTTGGGAAGATTTTTCTTGGTTTAATAGTGCTGGAGACCCTTGTTTTTGATATGACAAAAGCCCTAATTGATGTATGTGTGTTACACCTCCTTAAAATATGTACGTGGTTTAGCAGTAAATTTTCTTAGTGATAAATGCAGGAAGGACCAGGGAAATCCTCTGCACTTTACACATCCTTATTTTTTTAAAAATATGTAGTAAAATATTGCTGACAGTGAAATCAGTTCCCCAAAGAAGAGACTCCTGTATGCCCAAAGTAATTATTATTTAACATACTGGCTAGAAATTTCCATAGGCCAGAGTTTAATCAGGGGCCTCACGTGAACTACAAATAATGCTTAAAACCTTTACATGCCAGAGGTGCAGATAACCTGTCCCGTGGGCTGATGCCATTGGTTGTCCTGAATAAGGGAAGCTCTGAATGAAGACTTTTTCAGTGCTTGCAGCTTAATTGTCCTTACTTTAGGTCTCAGTGTTTACCAAGCAGTGTTATGGTTTGTTACCCAAGGTATTGAGTATTTGCAGCATTTAGTATTTTCACTGCCCTAAAAAGTGTAAGGGTTTTATTTGTGCTTTAAGGGAGAAATAAAGAAGTGAGCTGCCCTGTTTAGCATGTATTTGTGATGTAAGGAGCAGGGGTGATTTAAAATCAAAGAACATTGTTGGAGAAGATCTTTAGAGAACTTCAGTTAAGGTGAGGAGAGTGGGGCTGACATGTTAGCATGCCCAAGCAGACACTTACAGACCAACTAACTCAATTTTTTAGACATTTTTGGTGGATGTACTATGTACAAAGCTGTACCAAGTATTTCCTGTAGAAAGTACAAGGGTGATTCAGATAGGATTCCTGCTCTCACCAGGCCCAGTTCACCAAGAGTTAGCAAGATGGTTTTAAATCCTAGCAAGACTGGGACAACATTTTGCTTTCTGATTCTAGTTGAGAGTTCAAGTCCTGTTCCCCCCCATTCTGATTTTCCCAGTTAATCCATGAAATGGAGTTTTAGTAACTGAGGTACCATTGCTGGGACACAGTGAAGAGAATAAATTTGAAGCCAGGCCCTGTTACTTGTAGACTTTTTGTTAATGAATGGCAAAGCAGTAAATGTTGGACAGTAAATGATAGTAGAATTTTTTAAATTACATTTTGGAATGCTAATTAAATACGTTGTTTTGTAACATTCATCTGTTTTCTTTCATTTCCACATTTTCCTTACATGTATTTTAAGAAGGAAAAATTAAAACTCTCACACTCTTGCTTCCTTTACCTCTTTAGCTCTTTATTTTTAAAATCGGCAGATACTTACGAAGAGCATGTTGAGGAGCTGGTGGTGGTGGCAGTGGCCAGGCAGGCAGGATAAGTTACAGGCTGTGCTTGCTGCTGGCTGAAGGAGGCAAAGGCAGAGGCGGCCAGGATCCACTCCTGTCCCTTATGCTGCTGCTCCCTCGGATTCCTTCAGCCGCAGGCATTGAGTGTCCGCGTGCCATCCATTGAGTCTCCCACACGCGGCTCCCTGTCTTGTTTGAGGGCGGGGGAAGCATCTCCTCCTGCTCCCTGGGCGTTGGCTTCAGGGCGTAGTGCAGACTCTGTAGGGGAGCAGAACCGGGCTGGGGTCCACCAAGTCCTTCCTCCACCAACCAAGGTGCTTCCTTGCTAGTTTCTCTCTCTCTCTCTCTCTCTCTGTGTGTGTGTGTGTGGTTGTTTTTTTACTTAAAAAGAAATACTGTTATTTTAAGTTTATGTCCATTTTATAATTCAAGAAGCAGCAAGAGGCTATTTTCTCAGACTACTTCACTTTCTCTATTACAATTTTTCCTCTCAGAAAATCTTCCTCAGAATCTCCTCAAAGACTTGTTTCTAAGATGTGAAGGATGTGGAAAGTTACTGAACAAATTCTAGTAAGCCTAGATGGCAGAGAAGTTTGGCAACACTTGGGTAACTGGGTAAATTGCTGTTTCTTTTAATACCCAGGGTGAGAATCTTGGTGGTTAAAATTGACTAATCAAACATTCTCATCATTCCCCTCAACTGTCAGTCCTTTGTATAACATCTTAGGGGGGAGACTCTGTAGGATAAAAAGGACATTATTTGGTTATAACTGATGAAACATTTCAAACATGTGGTAGCATTTTGTAGCAGAGTTTAAAGATAGGAAGACACATTGAAGGGGTGACGCAAAACAGGTGATCTGGCGAAGGACTCCACGTTATGTGAGCAATTCCCCCCTTGTGGTAAGAATACAAACTACACTGTATGAGTATGTGCACTGCATGTTTCCAAAATGTTGTTTCTTTGTGTGTGCGCGTGTGGTGCTGGTAGGTTTGCCTTCTAACTTAAGGATCTCTGTTCACTGCAGCCAATACAATGTTTTTGAGGAGGTTGCTGAATAAATTATCTAAAAATGTACCTGTAGATGTGTTTGGAGGAAGTAGTGCTTAATATATAAAGTATTTTCAGTAAATGTGGAGATGTACCAGTTAATTAATACTTTTTTAAATTAGTGGAAACACCCAAGTTCTGAGTGAACTGAACTGTGAACTGTGACCATCTCCTCCCCAGTTTAGAGGACTCGTCTTCACATTCTCCAATTCATTGCATATGTGTCGAAGTTACTTACCATAACCCTTTCTTATTTTGAGAACTAATTTAGCAGTTTCTTAAAAATCTCCCTCCCTCCACACAGATTTCATATGTTATGGTTCAAAAATATGTACAGTTTGTTGATAGAATCAGAAGTGCTGGTTTTGAGGAGAATGAGCACCTTACGGTTATGCAGCTATAAACTTACTGACAGGTGCTATCGGCGAGTCAGGAGGTCATGAACCTCTCACTATTCTTTTAGATTCTGTGCTGCGCCCCCCTCAATGGTAACGTGACTGCCCCCTTCTGGGGAATGCGTTTAGATATGTGACTGAAACTGGAAAGCAGTGTAATATAATATATAGAAAGAGGAACTGTAATGCATAATTACCATAACAGGAACACCTTTTCTCCCGAATATGTTATATACTGGCAAATTCTAAAAAGCATCATTTTTTAGAGCCCTGTATAAATGAATATTAACTTGATAGTATTACTGATGATGAAAACTTTTCTTTGTTTTTAAATTAGTGTATTTGCACAGCATCACTAAGTATCTTTGGGAAGGAACATTGTAAAGTTTTCTCCATAGAAAGCAAAACAGGAACTTGTTTGAGTAATAATAAAAAAGGTTTACTTTCAACGATGGGTGAGTTGATAGTCTAATTGTTGACACTTTCTTAGCATTTGTATATTGGATGCATTTATGATGGAGGAATTTCTTTTCAATTCTGACACTCTGTACACACACACATGCACAACACATGAGCTGCACATATTTAGGTGAACAATATGAAATTCCACAGTATTTTTCATTTTAGTCCTTTAACTTGGTAAAATTCACATGGCTCTACCATAAAGTATTAAACTCCTTACTCTAGTCATTCTAGGATGAGGGAATCAACTTTATCTTGAAGTTAACCAACTAAAATGTATTTATTTAAGTAGCAAAAGTATCGTTTACCTGATAGGTATTACAAAATTTATTTTCAAATTGTGTTAACTCTCAGACCACTGATGAATCATTTAGTAAACCACAGTACAGTTTTTAAAAGCTAAATGATGTCTCAGTCCTTGGAAGTTACGATGCTTTTCAAAGTGAATCTAGTGAGATTCGGGATTGGTACACCTGTTAGTGGGGTTCAGAGTTAAGGAACAGCGTATTTGAACCAACTCCTTATGGTTTAATAAAAGTCAGTTATTTTGCTATTGACAGTGATAGATGACAACTACTTTCGTTACATTTTCATGATGTGGTATTTCTCTTTTTTAAGTAAGTTTGAAATGGGGAAAAATATAGGTAAGACAAATACGGGATTTCAAAGTTTAATTTTGTTGTAAACTAGAGGTTCTAGTATAAACAGTGTTAGTTTTATATTGTAGTACAAGGGCGGACACTTTATGTAACCTTTAGAAATATGTTTACCATCAGGGATTTATTTTTGCTATTGAAATACTTATGTACTGTGAAGCTTAAAGACAGGAAGAATTAACATTGGAGGGGTAACGCACAAAAACAAAGGCGTATCTGATGAAGTACCCTATGTTATGTGAACACAATTTCCCCCTTCTGTTAAGACTATAAACTACACTGTATGAGTATGTGTACTGCATGTTTACATAATACAGTTTAATTTTGAAGGATTATTTTAAAAAACTTTATGTATAATATCTAACAAACTGTAAATATTGTATACTATTGATTTTTAATTTTATATAAGCAATTTTTTAATTTCCCAATTCATGTACAAATCTCATCATGTATATAGCATAATTTCCTGGAGGACACAAATTTTGCAGTGAATTTTAATTATTTTAACTGAGGTAAGCATCAGGTTAGCCTTAGAGATGTTGATCTTTGTTTTAAATTATTTTTACCACTCATTTTCTTCACAGGGCAGCAATAAACATATGCAAGTTGTTTTTGATCATAGAAAGTTGGTCTGCAAAGACAAGATCTAGGTTCCAATTCATGGCTTAAAAAAAAAGATGCACAATTAATATCATCCACTCTCTAATCACAGGACCCTTTCTGAGGTCCATGTGTGTTTCTCCTCTTTGTAACATACAGGGTGATTCTACTGATACACACGAAACAACTGTTAAAAGTGAACCCAGCACCTAAATGTCATAACACAAATTTATTGGATTAAAAATTTATAATATACAGTATTTTAATAAAGTTTCTGTATTCTATTTCATGCACTTATATATAAATAAACCTGTCTTTAAAAGCTTTGTGGGGTGTTTGATTCTTGATGACATATCTTTTCAGTTCATTCTCTGTAAAATAAAATGTTTCTTCTCACCCTTTTGTCAGTTTTTCTGGAGCAGTTTTACATACGGCTTTTGGGGGTAGTGCCGAAAGGAATTAGGAAATCTGAAAGACACACTTGGCCTAGTTTATAGTTTTATCTGGGACCAGTCCTAAGCCACATAAGCACCCACTTCTAAGAGTTACTGTTTTAAAAAGCATACTATCACTTTCAATAATAAATGACTACCATTTATCAGGGCTTATTATGTTAGGCACTTCATATGTATTTTTTAACACTTGTAATCCTTCAAGTTAAGTGTTTTATCCGCACTTTACAGATGAAGAATTTGAGGTTCAGAGAAGGTGAAAAACTGCAGGTCACATAGCTAATAATGCTTAGTTTTGGTTCTCTTTACCTGGGCTTCCCCCCACCATGCTATGCTAGTTTCTGTACACTACTCTTTGAGCTCTTACCTGTAATGAGATAAAATCTCATTATTGAAGATCAGATGGAAGTATGGGGATTCGAAAATGATTAACTCAGGATTTGTCCTGTCAAATTCATGCATATTTTAAATTTTTGTTAGGGATTTCTAAGGGATGGTACTAGGTACCCAACTAGGCTTAACTGTTCTATGTGAAAAAAGACTGGGGCTCCAGCCACTGTAAGTGGTACAACCCTACTGGAATAAAGACAAGCTTAACTAAAAACCATGGAAGCAACATGGAATTAAATGGTTTTTCACATATATTGACATTATTTTATGTAATTGCTAAATTAAAATGTATTTCCTTTTCTAGGTAACTGTTTAAACCATATAATTATAAAATTATTAAATATATTTCTTTCCCAACCATGAGTCTGCAAAAGCTCTTGAACAAAAAATAAATCTTGAGATTAAAAAAGAAAATTTCTATTTTGATTCTATTACCATTGGCTCTTGAAGTAATATTTTTGTAACGTTTTGTAATAGGTAATTTATCTGGGTATTTTGATATTTACTGAGCATGGGGATTCCAGATTTATTGCCACCTATGTAGACATGAAAAGCGTTGAATTCCAGATTTATTGGAATGTAGACATGACCAGAGGGAGAGGCAATATCAGAAAGATGCTCAGCTTTCACACAACCTTATGATGGAGAATGCGTCCTAGTCAGACTTGATGAATAGGTACTTATGTTATCTCTGTTTTGAAGCTGAACCGTTAACTCATAAAATGGTACCATACAGAATGGTAATTCTGTATGGTTTTAGAACATACAGAAAAGTAAACGGGACCTATGGCCAATCTCTGAGGAGTAGAATTTGGGTTCACCTCCAGCTTCTAATGGAACCTTAACAGGAGAATCCATCGCATTCCCCTGTCCTATTTATTTGCCCTTAATTTTCCACTGTTGTCATCAGACATTTTTCTTCTGGCCAATTT